ATTTAGGTCGTACGTTGAGGGCCACCCGTAATTAGCTTTGGAATTTGGGAGGCAGGGGCGCAAAGGCTGCCCAACATTAAATAACTAATTAAATAATTAAATAATAAATAAATAACAAGTCGATTGCATGGTGTTTGTTTGTTTTTTTTGCTGGGACTTTAAGGGTGAAAAGTCTGGCCGTTAAGTCGCTTTTTTAATTTCCCGGGACTGTCGTAACCTTGAACGAAAGGAATGGTTGTGACCGCTTGTATTCACAAAGAAAATGCAACTAAGCAGATCGTAGTTTTGCAGAGTATATGAACTGGATTCTGAGTCCCTCTATGTGTGTTTTGTGTGTGTGTGTGTGTGTGTGTGTAGGTGTTATATGTATGTGTGATTTATGTCTTTATTTTGGAACATTTGGTTGCATTCCTGGGCCTTGGTAGAGGCCTTAGCTAGACACACGCGTACACACACACACACACACACACACACACACACACCTATTTATGCGCTCCAAAGAGTCCAGACCTCTTTCTCTGATTCAGCATAAAGCTGCCCCCTCTGAAAGTGGATTAATAAAGAATTTCTATTCTCTGTGAAACAAAGCTTGTTTTTCTTTGCCGTCCTGTGCACCGTAGACCTTTCTATGCGCCCCTCGGTTGGGGGTCACGGAAAAAAAAAAAAAGAGATTCATACGGAGGGAAGTTCAGAAAGATACACACCCCCCCCTTCTCTCTCTTTCTCTTTCTCTGAACAGGGTTCAGATGACTATAACACCTCCTGTGCCGTCTGTCCTGCTGCCGTCACCATCAGAAATAAAGTTTTTAAAGAAACTTTAATAAAAGTTGGAGTGAAACGTGAGGGTTTTCCTTCTTGTCCAAAATACGGCATGTCTGTCCTTAGTTCCTGTCTGTCTTCACTTTTGCTGGGAAAGGTGGGAAGAAGGGAAATATAAAACAGTCACGTGCAAACTCACAGATACCCCTGGTAGAAATCCTGTCTGTTAATGGATCTGACTTCTCCTGTCGGTGGAAGCGAAGGGATTTCATCCACTCTGGATAATTTGCTAGCCTCTGACTTATTTTCTTTCTTTCTTTCTTTCTTTCTTTCTTTCTTTCTTTCTTTCTTT